AAAGGAGAAGTAGCTGTTAACTACTCACGAGTGTAAAGTGGAATTCGTGCTGAGTTTCGTGTGTTTTTGGTGTTGTGTGGTCGGAACGAGTGGCAGTAGACCGAGAAACAAGTTGGCCTTCCGTCGACTTCATTGCTGACGTTGACGTTAAAATTAGGTTTATTCAGCCTGATTCGTTGGGTTGCTTTTCGTCGACGATAGAAACAAAGGTGCGGGGTGACCGTACGGGGGATCGACTGCGCCTTATCAATGGCTAGAGAACCACAGACAGTGGCGCGATGAGCACACTCTACCGAAGCGCTTATCAGCGCCAGCTGCAGAGCGCCGCCAAAGAGGCACAGCAGGAAGAAGACAGTGGGACGACCGCGAGAAGGAAGCCATACCTTCACGACTCCGAACTGCTGTTCTCGGGGTTTATTCAACAGCAGCCGCAGCAGCAGCGGCAGACGCAGCATCATCAGCAACGACAAAGAATCGACTTCACATTGTCACCATTATCATCTTGGCTGCAACAACAAACGGACAACAACAACAACAACAACAACAACGTCTAGTAAGAAGTTGCCTACATCAACACCGGACGGCTGTCGTAATGATCGAGCAACAATAATAGTAACGACGACAACATAAGGGATATAACTATCAGACAACAATCAGAACCACTACTCGCAATGAATGATAGCGATGCCCCCCACTGCTGTGATCGTCGCTGTTGCAACAGCAATCAAATCATTGCCAATTAGCAGCGTCGTTGTTATAATAAAAATCCTACAAATATTACTATTACTTATAACAATCAGTTGGTACGCAACAATATGAAGAACAACTACAGCAGACGTCGGCTGTAGGACGACGCGATAGATTCAGAAAAAGCCCTGTTTCCCCATCTCAAAGTCCACCGACGTGATGGGTCGCGTTCCTTAAGTAAATTCACTATAAAAGTAATCACAAATAAAAGAAAATTCATACAGTACGTGCTGTCACTAACAAACCAACAAATACAGACGTTCGGGGGACGCAGTTAGTGATAGTCGCAGTGGCGAGCATTGGCTAATTACGGCTAAGGTGTTCTGCATCGTGGGAGAAGAAGAAGAAGTCCGGATCGGGACTTCTTCTCTACGACGAGAAATCGTTGCCGTCCACTAGACCGGTAGGCCTAGAAACCAGATCCTTGGACGGAAGATCGAGCAGGTGCTTGAGGTACGTTGCTGGCCCACGTGTACGCTGCTGGGGTCTAAGGGATAAATACGCGCGAGCCGAAGCCGAAGGGGGAGCTACCACGCGAAACAAGGTGGCCGGTGAAGAGAACAGCCTCGTTTTAATACAGATAGCGCCGTATCGGGGGAGACACCGCGTTAGGACGCATAAAATGCGGTGATAGTACAGAATTGAAAAGGGGTTCCGGCCCGTCCGGAGTTGCGGGCTTTTAGGCCGCAGAAGAGAGTCGATTCGATCCCTACTCCTTCTCGTTCCGCTCAGTGCTAAGGACGAAGAATCGCAGAGAAGGCAATTAGAAAAGGAAATGAAGGATCTTCGACTTGAGAAAATAACAGACTGAAGCGATTGAAAAGATTCAAGGGAAACAGTGAGTTCGCTAACGACGGTTGTGCATTGCCTGAGTACAAGAGAATTAAAAAAAAAAAAGCAAGAGGACGAAAAAATATAGATTTCGAAAAGTCAATAAACAAAAAGCGAGAGCAGAACAGAAGCGTTTACAAAACCAAGGAGCCGTTACTAACCTATGAGCAACCAATAATAGCAATGATAAAGCACTGTAATAATAATAATAATAATAATAATCAAGGATACTTAGTACTCCAGCTACCAGGAAAATCTGCCAGAAGTGAGCTCTTACGTTAAGAAAGAGCTACTAATCACATCGTTAAAATCAATCGTGTTGTATATGAAAAAAGTAACAACGTAACAGGAAAAGCGAATATAATCAGTGTGAATTTAGTGGTTGACGTGTGAAAGTCCGACATTTGTTAATAACTAATGTAAATCAAGATAAGCAACCGATTTGGTTATGATCTTAAAGAGTTAGCAAACAAAAAGAGGAGCGGGCAGGCAATGAGCTAAGAGGAACGCGCAACGCACATACAGAAAAAGAAAGAAACAATAGGCCAACCATTGAAAAGTGGCCAACTTCGTGTGACGAAACTTTTGTTTTTCCTCTGCCCCTTTGCCTGAGCGTCTATTAAAAGAGCTGACAGTCGATTTAAGCCGACGCAGGCAAAAGTAGGTCCACGAAGCAGGTGGCTATTTCGATATGATTTTTTGCTTTACCTCCGACACTGTGCGCCCGGAATAGCGGAACAAAAAAGAAGCGGCCCAGCTAACCAAATTGTGGCAGCAAAGAGAGGACATCTGCTAGTCCGACCCACAATTCTAAACTCCACATCACCCCAACATGCATGCACTTTAGGTTGCTACTGTTTCCAGGCTTAGTGCAGGGAAGCAAATTTCTGTAGAACGGATGGAAGGCACCCATTTTCTACGCATTCACGAAACACACGCAAGTTCCCGTCTATAACTATACACGTTAAAGCAAATTGAACGTTTTTTGTACTTCCAACATTAGTAACATAATCATAATTAAGCGAAACTTGGTTTTCTAAGGGAATCGATATGCTAGAGCAAGACTAGCAAGCAAATAACCGATAGCATTGTAGGGATATAAAGTGCAAAGACACGACACGATTGAGTGCATTTTTAGGAGGTCTACAAAAAAATATATTAGGATATTGTCAGCAGATAAAACTACCACACCTGAAACTTCTTGACATTTACATCCTACTATTATGTTGTTTGGGTCATTACTATATATCTGTATATTTATCCTTCTCCTTATCTTGAAAGACAACAACAGCAGGCAGCCATTGTAGACGGCGTTCAGCACCGTTCCAAGCAACAATCAATAAACAGCCATCCCGTCCTTGACACAGGGGCGAATACAGCAACAAGAGCTGCTTTGGATTTTCAAAAAGCGTTACCGAAGTAGAAAGGAAGACTCGACGGTGTCTAAAAACGACTTGAGTTCTATCTCTAAATAGGACTCCTGAAATTCGCTTCTCATATAAACAATACTCTCACTGTAGCCACACCAGAACGCCGTAGGTCCTGCTCGAGGCCAAACGATGGAACATGGGTGAAAAGGTCGATTGTAAAATCCAGCAAACAGAAGATTCGATGAGCTTCAGCTGTAACCGATAACGGTGCGTCCCTAATTTTATATATATATATATATATATATATATATATATATATATATCATGTGAAAAAAGGGAAATTTCTCTCTTTGTGAGTGTATGATTGAATATGATACTGGTGCTTTTCTACCGGGTCGTCGTCTAACGGCTACTAGCAAAGGTGGCTCACACATGAATACTAGCGTTATTCCAGTATGGTTGCAATGGAAACAATTCGGTTCTTGGCAAGGAGAACAACAACGTCCGTTACAGGATACCTTAGAGAAGATACAACGATGCTCGTTTTAAGCTTTTAAGCAAATAAGTAACAAACAATAACGGCAGCAAAGAAACTCATTGACGGGTTTAAGGGCAAGGAATCTGTTAAGTAATTGTTAAACGCATACGATGACCTTTTATATACGCCCATCCATGGAACATGACGAGCTACAGTGCAGCCCACTCGGAAATGGCTCCCTTTTGAGTTTTCTATAAAATATATATATATATATACATATGTGTATATATAGATCACTGAATCTATACATAGACACATACCTAAACGTATATCTGTCTTTGTATAAATGCATTATATAAATAATGTGGATCTGACCGCGAAAGTGGCAGACGATATAGCAGTATTGATACCAAACACCACTATTGTTCCAACTACTCTGACCGCAGCGTTAGGTCCACTCGTTCCCCTGCATAGTTGTACATAAGGTTGACATTGGTTTCATCGACCAGGCAAGACGCAGCCAGACATCCACGTAACAGAGTTTTTTTCCTGTTCACATCGACACGACAAGCGACGTGTGAGGCTCAGCATAATATACGATGCTAATAGTACGTAAACAATAAAAACAACAAATAATTACGCAGGCAAAGTGAGCACTCGAAATAACAAAAATGGCTTGTACTTATTGTTGACTAACGACAGCTTAACGCCAATGCGTCACACACAATGTGTGTATAGCTTAGCGACAAATGCTAGCTCATACTAAGTACACGAGTCGCATCCACAACGATTAATAATATAGAGTACGAAAAAATCATCATCATCATCCTAATGGTAGACGGGAAATAACCAGGAAGGGAGACAAGACGGTAAGGAGTTTCTACTTTTTCTCAAAGCTCACAAACAGCAGCTTTCGACTAACGCTGAAACATAAAGGAAATTACTTCGATCCCAAGGCCAGCCGTTCGGCGCCCTTACGTGTATAATCTAGTGTTCACGCACGCACAGGTGAAGCCAATATCTTCCCGAAAATAAAAATGAAAAAAAGCACGAACAAGCGAAACCCGGAAGCGGGCTGAGCACCTTGCCCCAGCAAACGAGCTACAGGGACTCTGAGCTAACGCAAGACGAGTACGATAATCGATAGCAAAGCTACCGTCGCCAGAAACAACGACAGAAGCAGCAACAAAACCGCAAGGGCTAGCAAAAACACGCTCGAAATAGTAACCAGGACAGCAACAACGCCCGCACGGCGGATCGGCCGGCTTCGGTACGGCGTCGTTCCTGCAAACTCAAGGCCCTCGAGGCTGTCGAGGGACCTTGTTGCAGCCGCCGCAGCAGCAGAAAACATTCATACTGATACTGCCACCGATACAAACACGATTACCGCAACTCTCGTGTCTATTGCCGCTGTTATTATCATCATCATTGTCTCCGGACAGCAGTAGCAGCAGCGGTTGGAAACATCGTCCGCTCTTTCCACGATCATCATCATCATCATCATCATCACCACCACCACCATCAGTAAAAGCAGCAGCCGCAGCAGCAGCAGCAACAGCAGCAGCAGCAACAGCAGCAGCAGCAGCAGCAACAGCAGCAGCAGCAGCAACAGCAGCAGCAACAACAAACACAACGACATTAGAAACGTGCCCGTCGTCGAACTTCTTCCTGCTACTGTCGACACGTTCGGATCGTGGTCGTTATCGTCGTGGTGGTGGCTGCTTGTCGAAGCGACGCCCGGAAGCGGTGTCGTCGCCGTCGGTGCTGCTGTTGCTGTTGTTGCCCCAGACCGGTGTCCTGGATCTCTCGCTCAGGGGCTCCTGTCATGCACAATGGTGATGGCCCACCCTATTGGGCCTCCCCAGTCGCAGGCGGCGCCCGCTGTTCACCACCCGCTGTCGGGGCCTTCGGACCGCGAGCGGGGAGGAGACCGGGACAGGGATCGGGCTGGGCCTTCGGGCCAGGCCGTCATACGCCACGGCAGCTCGTGGTTTCAACGGAAGATCAACCTGCGGCCGCAGCACCGCGGCGGGCATCTTATCACTGACGAGATACTCAAGCAAGTTCCCGAAATACAGCAGTTCGCTGTCGGCCTGCTGCATATACAAAGTGAGTGGTTTTGCGAGACCAATTTGAACCGCGTACTGGACCCAGCTCCCAATAACTTTATTGTCTTATACGAAATTATATGCGTCATTGAATGTCTTTTGTTGCTTTTATTTGAAATCGTTAATCAATTCTATATGTACATCTAAAAAATAACAAAAGCAACTCTAAATAGCAAAAACGAAAACTCCCGTTATCTCTCCAATCTGTAGTTATAAGTAGTATTGAAGGAGATTACGTACAAACCTTGCCAATCTGTCAGTCACGTTCTCTTTTGATAGGCTGCACCATTTCTTTTTTTTTTTTTTTTTTTTTTTATTTTATTTATTCATCTTCGTCAACTAACTAGAAATAACGAAGAAAATCAGTATTTCTATCAGCCTCAATATAACAGACACCGAATAGCCATTTAGACAATCTCCTATTAATACTATACTATATAATACTATACTGTTGTGTAGACGTAAAATTTGGCAATGGTGCTAATTTAATGTGATGGTCTGGGCCTGGATCTGTCGTGCCCGTATTGACCTTAATAGATCCAACAGTTGGCCTGTAACAATGGAGTCTGAGCTCAATGCCGACATAATTCATATGCGTTCAGCTCATTTCTCTCACCTTTTAATATACTCATTGAGAACATGCGCACGTAGAAAATAGGCAATGATATGTCCTGAATCTACGTAAACACTATTTTAACAGCAAAATATTTAATACAAATAATATTTGTATTATATATTTGCCGTTTATATATAATAATAATATATGTAACGTATAGAATGGCATCATGAAGACATGCAAAATCTGTATGGACATCAAACTATGTATGTCTACTATCATAGCTGAGAACTGCTGGGCAAGCTAAATAGCAGTAAACGGTAGCTTTGTTGCATTACTCGGCGATGCTCAAATGTCGACCGCGCACGGGGCCAGCCCAGAGTGATTGGGTTCATCCGCACTGCCATCCTCAGATTTCTACTAGCCGATAAGCCACTGATAACTCACTTTCATGGAGGTAGTGGATTTCTGCTAGGCGAGCTAAAGATCAGACAAAAAGCTTTCTCTATTTTCTTGTGAACAGTTTTGTTGAAATGCTGAAAAACGGGCCAAGTAAACAGCCTATAGATGCAATATTCACTGCTATAATAGAGTATACAAAAAGGAGTATCTTTTCTACATAAAAAAAATTGCCCATAAGCAAGCGTAGCGTCAGATAACCGCGGTCCAACCAGCCGTAGTACCTATGAGCGTCTTTGCCAAGTGCGCCTGGCGTCAACTGTACGGCTTTAGACGGTACATTGTCTCTCGACAAGTGGACTAGTCAAGTGGCGGCAGCGGCGGCCCACTGCTTAGTAGGACCTAAAACAAGTTGTAACGGTAGATAGTAGCCGCCGCGGCGTTACGAGCAGCAGCGATAGTGATAGTCGCAGCTAAAGGAAACAGAAGCCTGCCGTGGCCGCAGCACAAGCCGCTAAAAGAGAAGAGGTGTGGGAACAAACCGAGCAAATGCGGGCGATCAGTCGGTCAGTCCGACCTTAGAAGCCTCTCAGATCGCGTGCACTGTCCGCATATATTACTTACATATGCATACATTATTTAGCATTCCATTGCCACTATGCGGTAAAGAGGCCGGCCGGTTCACACTAGCCGGAGCGAGAAGGCGCCCAGTTTCGCTCTCTAATGGCCGACGGCTCTCGTGTACTCATCGAGATGGTAATGGCACCTGTGCGGTATCAGACATGTGCGAGGGGTGGGTCGCGTCTGCTTCCCCTCGTTACCCCCACTTCTGTCATTGTTTTCGGCTTCGTTCGCTGCCGCCACAACATTACTTTCCGACCAACGGCTTTACGTTACCCGGTCAAGATGATCGTCGGCACTGATTAGTTGGTGCCCGTTTTTTCTTCTCCCCTGCCTCGATTATCTGTGCAATCTTGCCTCCAGCTTTACTAACAACCCGGACGTTTTGTCCTACTTTTTCCTATTTTGCCATGACATGTTCCTGCGTGTCCCTGCCATGCATAGTAATGCACACTTCGGCTAGTCTGGCGCTCAACGAGAACTGGGATCCCGATGTTCGAGACGACGTCGAGAATTTCATGAATAAGCTCGTCCCGGAAAATCTACCCTATCAGCATTCCTGTGAAGGCCCCGAGGACATGGTAAGTTCACTTGTTTAAAACGATCTTTTTTTTCAACTATTAAAGCTCTGTTCGTCGTGAACTTGCTCGACTAAGAGGTACGAACTATTTTAGATATGGGTGGAAGTGCTATTAAATAAAACTGACTTAGAAATACATAAAAATGGCATTTATTCATTTGTCAAAAGCTAACGCATGATCGATCCGAGCTCGCATTGGACATTTGGGAAGTACTTGTAAACTTCGCCAATTGATAATCGGCGCCTGATTTCCTGCATGTATTACGTTGAAAGTCCAAGGAAAAAATACACAACAAGTTGCGTCGCTAGGGAATTCGAACGTCTTCACAGTCTTCATCGCCAAATGAAAAATATAGAGATATTAAACATTAATGGAGGACTTTATAGGCCTAGAAATTATAAATGACTATTAGAGATCAATACAAACAAGCTTCTGTGGTATAATTAAACTCTTGTACCCAACTAATCTAGGTGATTTAAATGTTGTGTCTAGTACTTATAGTGTTAGGTACTGCTGTCGACATCTGGCTAGGTTGTATAGCAAAAGATGGATCACAACCACCTGCATTTTTGTCCGTGAAACTCCTTCTTTAGAGGTATCCTTTACCTTGCATTACGTTCTTTGTTTAACAACATTTGAATGCCCACTTTCATTATGTACAAAATGGGAAACTTTCAACCAGTTTGAGGGCTAACCTTCTGAATTTCTTTTTTAAACCTATCCATTACAATTATGCAACTACTGCACTCCGTTACTTTCGAGGACTGCAAATACGTGGTTGAATTCCTGGATTAATGTTGACGCACCATACGGTCTACAGCGTTTGCCGGATGTCTAAATTTTAGCATACTTGTTGTTACTACAAAACATAATAGGCCTGCTTTTTTAGTACCTACAAAAAATGTATTTTAGGTTTTGGATATGGGTTACAACACTACCACTGAAACCTACTACATAATTGTTAAACGTAAATTGCAAGTAACAATTACAGATTTATTAGTACTTTCCACGGGCATGAGTAAGAAGCAAGGCATACAACTGAATCATGTCACGTAGGAATCATAGATAATATTTTCAATGAGTGTTTCAAGTCTTTTCCCTGAATCTGTGTCAGCCTTCTAAAGTCTTACCTTAGCGGCCTTCTGAGGTTAATTCTTTAAAGTCCGTCTTAACTTAAGCAGGTTCCTAAGTTTTTAGTTACCATATATTTCCACAAAAATATGGTTTTCGCTTAAATTTACTATGCACCTTTCTATTCCATTATACATAACATCGCGGGGCCTTATACCGGCTATCCGCTGCTGGTGGACAAAAGAATAACGCTCCTGTTGCTTATAACCTGTATCTCCGATCGTTGCTCGGCCAAAGTGGCCAGTGTTGCACAGAATATGAATGAAGCATGTCGAAATTAGACGTCAAACACGTACCCCACGGCTTGTTAGAAGAAGTGAACGAATCCTTTATGCAGATTTGTAGTGGGCTTCATTACCTGGCCACACAGATTACCGTAATACGTACACGTCACACCTTAATATGAAAGTGAATTTATAAAAATGTCTCTTATATTGCCAATAAATTAAACATGCGAGAAATTGATTCGAAACGCTTCAAGACAGAAGGGTTAATTGTCGGTTATCCTAACCTCGACATCACCACATACTGATCACTTCAGCACAATAGTCTGAAGCCAATATCTGAAAGACTACATAAATACTATCTTAATTAGTACACTATTCATTGCCAAATAACCGCTGGACAACATTTTGAAAACCCCAGGTGTCGCTTGAAGTTTTCAAAAAATAACTTGAAGGCTTACTTTTGATCAGGAAGAAAGATGCCGTCAGGATTATTAGTTGTGATTTATCATGCTAGCTTCTTTTTGGTTGAATATCTGGTGCTGGATTGTTCGTGTAATTATGTACAAGATGCAGCCAGATATAAGACAATGTCCTACTTTATAAGTTATTATATAAACATAACCGTTCTAAGTAGAATATGGAATGATTTATGTGACGTATTAGCGAAAAAAAAAACATATGACATGATCTAATCCTTTTTTCAATCTTTACTCACGGGAGCTGTCGCCTATACAGGGACCATCTTGTATCTGACTTCCTTAATGCAGCACAAATATTCTATATTGCACCTTTGTCAAAATTACCCACTGGTCCAATCTAATAATAAATATAAACTAATTTTTTTTTTGTTTTATCATCTTTCATGGTTGTTTCTTTCATCGTGATTACCTCTTCTACCATCCGTCGAAACTGTAGCCGGCGCACATCAAGTCGCTGCTGTTTGGTTCATCGTTGTCTATCCCGATCACCGATGGTCGACTTAACCTCGGCCAGTGGCAGGGTGTATGGCTCTGTGAACATAGAAATAGAGCAGGATCTAGAAAATTAGTCATTACTATAAATGGTTCACTGAAAGATACTTAATCATCCGTTTATTAGCGTAAAAATGAAGCCACTTAGCATTGAGCGAATGCAGGCGCCGCGCGTATGATCATGGTTGTGAATAGAGCGGAGCTCAGGTGGCGTTGTCGAGGACGGACGCGTCAAACGATTGCCTCTGCGACGATCTGGCTCTAACTAGAACTCGTGTTGTACGGTCTCTCAAGTGATCGACGCCTATCTTTCAACCGAAATGCAGTTGCTGAAAAGAGAAGAGCTTTGTGGACGTCATATAACACATCGGAGAGTGTCAACCCGGAACTTCGGATGTCGGAACCGCACTACTGGCTATTGAGTACGAAAAACAACAGGAAAAACCTGTCTCCCTACGCGCTGACAACGACGATGGTACGGACGATTCAAACGTATCGTTCACACACGTACGGATCGGCTTGCATTAGCCGGCCAATAGTCATACTCGATTTCTGGCGGACGGCTTCCAGCGAAAAGCCCGGAGAGAAGAAGATGACAGATCTACATGACAAAAAAAAAAAGCCAGTCACCCTATTTTGGTGACTATTCCACTCGCGCGTCTATTTTTCACGATGCTAATATGGCACCATTGTAGGTAGGGATTTTTTAAGCTGTGCAATTCAAATAACAAATAATGATAAAACGATGACCGCCACATCAGAAACAACAAAAATAAGGAAAAAGCATAACATGCACAAGAACAATGACAAGTAATAATAATGAAACAACATAACGAAGACGTTGAATAATGAGAGCGGAACATATAGGACAAACTATATTTTTGTTCAAGCCTCATCCTTGAACGACAGATTTACGTCTGGCGGCCACAAGCTTAAACGAATTTTAGCGGGTTAGCTGAGATGAGGCTTGGGCATGTGGCGGAACGCCTTTTGGCATTTGGAACTGGGCAGTCGAAAATAACTCAGCCGTGGCAGAAGTGTTTGTGTTTTGAGATCGGCGGTGGGGGATGAGGTGCGAATACCAAAGCGACAGCACCTGCCTAGTGCATGAGTGGTATTTATAGCCATCGATCCGCTCTCAGTGATCGATAAGAATAAAAATAATTATTATAGTAATAATAAATGCTCTTCAGTGACTGCGAATGAAAAGGTCGTTTCGTCTAACGGACCGACGGCAGATCGTCCCAGCGATCTGTCCCTTCGACGCCTCGAGACGCTGAGGCACTCGGCCTAACGGTGGTCGGCATAACTGGGACAAGACGCCTCTGTCTAAAGGATGTCTATGCAAGTGGGTGGCAGTCGTCGGTTCCTTAAAACTCTTCAGTCCCGGAGTGAGGAGACGCCAGCGAATGTCTTATGTTGGAGAATGAGACGATGATAATAACAATGCTAATGTAGAACAACGATGTTATGGGTTCGGATACAGCGTTAGCTTTGCATGTTACGTGGGAGAGTTACGTTTACGGAATAAAAAAAAAGCGGCCGCCTCCGTCGCCAATCCATGGTTCGAACAGAAATACTCGCACATGCAGATTATGTCTCGTTACACGCTTGTGATCATACGGCGGTAGCGTGTTTGCTATTTGCATAGTTGGTTAGAGAAGGAAAGGCCACAGCCACATATGATATGTATGACGCTAGCAAAAAACAAGCTCAGATGGTTGCCTTGGAGACGATGGTTAGTGGACATTAATGATTACCATGGCAACCGTTTTGGCTACGATTATATTTTCAATCACTCCGAGGTTGTGCTGGCTGGCCAAATGGTGGGATCAGCGCACAAATGTTTTTTATGTGATCGTGTATACTATTGTTGCAATATTACCATAAGCATGTCGTTTTCGAAAATGATGTCGGTGAGAACGCGCCGATTATAGCCTGAGGGTCATTAATGGTTCCGAATGCTGCCCAGCCTGAATTGATATACGAACGCTGATGACTAAATGCTGACAAACTGCTTATTACCGAATAGTATGATAATGCTGATAATAGCAGAGTAAGATTATTCTATCTGGTGGCGACCCCGGATGCCATCGTTGTTGCCATGGTGACGCCGGCGGGGGCGGTTGTAATATTCACCCGCCATCTTGTCACTTGTTGCTAAAGTTGTTCTTTCTTTTTCTTTTCAAAAGCTTCTACTGCTCATGCGTACGAGGAAAGGAAAGGCTGGGCGAGAGAATGGATACTGGTCGAGAAAAGTTTCGAACGAATTCTCGTGCGTTTTGGGCCTCAGTACTTCGCTGGCGCCTCAGTAAAGTCCGCGGACTATGGGAGTGGTTGTGAAATGATATACTGTGAATTGATAATGGAATTAATACGACTATATTGACGACGATAATTCTGGTTAAATTGTTACTATTACTGTGAATTTAATCAATAATGAACGAGATGACATACGACCGACTAGACCTGTTTGTCCCATAGAAGGACAACAGCGAAAACGAGAGGCGTTTCAATGAACGCCAATGCATAATACGTCACACACAAAAAAACAGGTACACACAAACAGAGAGACACCAAACGTCGACAAGTTACGGGCACATACAGACAATTCTAACGCGATCTAGAAACAGATAAAAACAATATTGTGACAATAATAGATTGAAAATAATAAATAAGCTCAGGTAAGGTAATAAACAGACGAAAATAATGGGTTTGTGCGAATGGCTGCGCGAATGAGGGTGAACCAAACGAAAGAAAAACCAAACGCGAACTGTCGATAGGGATGATTGCGTGGGTGTTTCTTATTACAGATTTGTAGAAAGTGTTTGATTTGTTGTTATCGATGAGAACATGTGCACACGTACTAGAATATCGGTTATAACGAAAGCGAAGGTGTGAAGCAGTGTTATTATGTGGGGTTCTGGGGTCAATTTCGTGGAGATGAATCAAATACAGTACCTTCTTTTTTATTGCAGAGTCGTACGGTTGGATATAGTTACACATTGAGGTAAAGCGAACGGTCGGTCTCATAGCTGAACCTTTGTATCAGAGATAATTGAAAATACAACAAGGTGAAAGCTCTCATATACCACGACTACCACATTCCTCTTCGCGATATATATATATATACACACACACACACCTATATATATACATACACATATATACCTATATATGTATATATATATATATATACACACCTATATATGTATATACCTATATATGTATTTCTCGATGATTATGGTACTATTACGTGTATTTAAGGTGATCGTGACGTTTAGTCGATAATGTTGTCATGGACCAGTTCCAATGTTTTTTGCAAGAACGTTTTATGGTGTTTAGACAGACTTCCGTTTTATGCATGTATCATCCAATTAAATGCCGTAGCTCCGATACCTCCTCGAAGACAGGGTCGTTCTTTGAGGAAGTGTGTAACGCCCAGCTGGTACGGTACCTTGTCAAGGTAACTTGACAGCATATTTTCTAATAAGCACCTGCTCCAGCTTTGTATTACTCGACATTGCGATAACAATAAGTTTCGACATTAGCTCTTTGGTGTTCCGTGCGTTGCCGCAAGACGACAGGGCTGTAGGAGGTACTTATAGCAGACGAGCAGTAGGACTTCTTCTTAAATGGAGCGGCTTCGTTATTTTTTGTTCATGTAGCCAACGCGACTAGTACTAGAACTTTGCGGTTGGCCTGAGTTTTGAGGGTGGCCATGCGAAGCAAGCAAATGGATAGAGTAGGAGTGATGGATCAGTGCGTGGGCCCAGGAGGGTGACACACGTCATAGGAATGATAATTATAATAGATACGCTGGGTAGAAAAAAAATATACGAGAGCGAGCAAAGAAAACAATAAACGTGCGATGCGTGTTAGACATTTCATGCGCCATGAGAAATGGGGTAACATTGTCAACGTGATAATAACAATGGAATTGATCACAACATCGTTAATTACCAATAGTTTTAATAACCTAATACCACTACTAAAATTAGTAAAAATAATGTCGTCAGCATGCGCTTATGTGGACACGTTCTGGCTTAGGAAAATATTAGCGAGTTATTAGGATCAAATAATATATGCGACAAACACAGCATCCCACAATCTACAGTGCGATAGTACATGAGACATAAACAGTGGGCTGCTTGATTGATTGATTGATTGATTGAATGGGACCGGAAGAGCGAGTAACAGTACGTTAATAACATTGAACAGACGGATGTCAGAGCCGCGCGTTGTGTACGACCATGGTGAATTAACCAGTGTATCAAATACTATACCCTACATTTACGCGTGTTTATGCCGACATGGAGACATAAACAGGACACGGATAACATACGGCAACGAATTAGCGGAGTCATGCTCGATATTTAAGTACACTTGCTCGCGCAAGCGGACGACATACACCCATACGATGACTATGACGCTGGAAAAACTGATGCTAAGAGAGAGTAACATGAACGACGCTGATGATTATATATATATATCTCTCGACGCAGACGAGACGTTCAGCCGATGGTAGTATGACGACGATGACGATAGTGACCTTTAACAAAGAGAGAAGCACTTGTAGAATGTGGTTCTTATGCAAGATGGGCAAGGGTCACAGCATGGAAGTCGATGACACAAGCGAAATAGATGGGTCTGCTGCTGACAGAATGAAGTAGAAGATGGATGGTGATGATAATGACGAAACAATATGAAGTCATTCCGACGCAGATTGAAGACGACAAAAAAATAGTGGGAACAGAAGGAAAAGTCTGAAAAGATCGACAGCCATGAAAAACCAAGAGATTAGCCTAGGCAGGACAATAGGGGAAAGTAAGTCGGGCGGAAGCGATAGATTGGACACGTCTAACAAAAAGGGAAAGCTTTACAAAATTCGAGCCTACTGTGCGAATTCGCCTGATTAATTACGTTTGGCATACGGATATCAAACTCTGTGCACGAACAAATAACCTGTACCCGCAGCAATAAAAGAATACAGAAACAGGCGGCAGATGACATAAACACTGAGAAGGAAAAGGGGTTGAATGTCTCGGTCTCGACGAAGATCGTCGTCGATGGCAGAAGATAATGGTGACGATTATGAACTGTCAAGTAGACAAGGAAGATGTCTCGTTTGGTTGACCGACGCGGTCCAACACCGCGTACATTGTATGTCGCTGATTTATTGTGGATGTGCGCCGCGTATACCGCTTCCGTTCGCAGTAGCATATGTGTTCGTGTGTTGGCGATGCTGGGCACTACGTGCTAGAGGACGCATGCGGCAGTTGTCTTGCGTGCATATACCTGTATAGATAACGCTACGTGGCAGAGATACTGGCGTAAACTAACACGTCTTAATATCCTCGTTAATGTGGTCGTCGTCGTTGTTAGCGTCACAGCGTGCCATTGGTTGGCTGGCAAGCGTACAGCCTGGGCTCGAAGCTATTGGCCACACTGCGGAACCCAGGGCTGCGCGGTAGGCCGCGTCGGTCGGTGCTGCTGCCCCCCCCCCCCTCCCCTGTTGTCTTTTGTAACTTAATAACAAATTGTGTCGTAAGCAGGATTCTAGTTGCCGGTTTATCGACATTATTGATAATGAGCAATATTACAAAATAGTAGTGGTAGTGGTGATGAACGTAAGAGTTGATAGGGAATGGAGCACAAGCAAAGAAGAGCACCCAAGCGAAAAAAACATACATTGAGGACAGATAAGCGGATTAGGGAAACGAAACAAGCCTGCGTGAAAGAAAAAGTACGAATGAAAGCTGATGGAAGAATGAGACTGCGTACATTGTGCTAACCGTGATCATGCTGATGATGATTATTATGATGACAACGACGACGATAGTTGGACTGGTTGAAAGAGCAGGTATAAACAACAAACAAATACACAAACAGACAGGAAAAAATCTAAGAAACAAACAACATGGTGAGTTCGTGTCATTTCAATAAATTTTCCGCTGAAAATTGCATATGTCTTTCATTTTTGTATTCGAAGAAATTTCTGCTAGTTTCCTTTTCGTTTGGCTAAATTTAGACAAACACCGAGGATGGATGGTATCACAAGCGTTAGGCCTTCGTTGCTTTTATTGTTGTTGCTATTGAAAAACTGCGTACTAATCTATCGCAGGATCTCGAAATTTTGGGCAAATCGCAAGTTCGTAGAGCTTCGGGATATTTTCAGATACAAGAAAATTTATTCTAAATAGTGCTTTAAGATAGGAGTTAAAAACTCGAGCTGGTCCTCTGTATCATTCGTGCCCAACAGTTTCCGCAAACATTTTGTTGACAAATGTAGATGTGTTTTCTCTGGCACACACACAATGCGGTGCATGAGAATTAGGCAAAAATCTTGCATAGACAGAACGATTATAGGAATGTGTATGGTCTATAACCAATTATATATATATATATATATACTGTGGTCAGGTGCTAAAAAAGAAAATTTGTTATCCTGTTCCAAAGTATGTCACATAGTTTGTTTTCGTTTTGTTTTAGATAAATAACTCTCGTAAGGACACAAACATATATGTTGATATATGTGTCTAACATAAACGTGCGATTCTGCACATAAAAACGTGTTAGCTCGTATAAAGGTACTTCTCTAATTTCGAAAATTAAAACCTCAGAGGTAGGGCGAATACTAGACAGAGTATGACTGGGTAGGCACTGACACTCTTGTTTACGAATTGATCAGTAGAAACGAGATGTTTAACACAATTTAGGAGCCCTCAAGCTATCCATTGTGTCGTATTTACAATGTTTCTTTAATTTGTATCTCCGTAACGTATATTCCGCATCCCTCCCAAAACATACATAGGATAAATCGGGCGACTGAAGTGTATACGATAAAAGAGAACAAATTTAAGTTGACTCTTCCATTTACATTTATTTAGGTTTCCATTTTATTGATAGTTCTGATTTTTTTTCTGTAGCATGATCGACAGCCGGGTAAACATCAACACATTAATAATCAATGCATTGTTTTTGCATTGTCCTTTGTACAGAATGAGATGTGTGGGTCTTTGTGCTGGACTTTCAACATGTATTCTCTCAACGCTTTCGTTCTATCTGCTGTTCCTGTTCAAATTAAAGAGCCAAGGAAATTACACGTTGGCAAATACGAATAGAGGACTTTACGAGGGGGACGTTTTTCTATCGCGGCCGTCCTTTTCCCCTAAGAATCCCCAAATGACTCCAACTTTTTTTTATTGTCTTTTTTGTCTTTTTATTAGTACATTCAATATCAACTTCGTGTTGCTCAAGCGTGTTTAACGTTGACCATTCGGCTTCTTCTTATATCAAAATCAACGCGGCGGTGGTGGTGGTGGTGATAAACAACGTTCTATCTAATTCAACGGGGACGGTGACAAAATTATTTGTATTTGTTATACTTAATATTGTTTTGCCAAACGAGCTGCGGTCCTCAAGTTGGTAGCGACCAAGCTTTATGGCCGCACACAAAACCATCTGCCGTAGATAGGCAAGCCAATTTCATTTAAGGGAGGGCGTCACTGTGACAAAGTGGGTGACAGATGCGTCTTTCCTAGCAACAAAGGTAAGTTTAAGTGTCCCTATTAGTATATGGTATGTTTTAATGGATATGTATATGTGAGCCCTTTTATTATGATTTGTGGATATATACCATGTTATTCTGCGTAAGCAATCTTCAGACACCTCGGCAATCGTCCTTGTGCTTCGCTGCTTTATACTATCTACTATCCGTATATTTGTTTGCTTTCTGTTGTCTTCGATTTGCTTGGCGTTGTCCAATGAGTAAAAGTGTTCGTTCGTTCTGTGCCACGAAGAATTGCTGTAGCTGTTATAAGTGTTACTGTTATTGGTATAGCATAATTACTATAAATATTACCATTCCTATACTCCTATTATTATGTACACGCTACACAGCCGGAATAACGCGCGTCTGGAGCCACTCGATTGATCGAGTTCACAAACAGACTTTTCTTTTTCCTTTTTTGCTCCCCCTTTTAAAACACTTTTTCTTTAATTTGTTTTTATCGTTGCTTTTGCCTCTTCTCTCTTGTCTTTTCCTTGTGTGTTGGCAAAAACTTACCTATTTTTACATGACAGGGCCAAAATATACACAAAGATATACAATGATGATACATGATGACTGTGGGTTCGGGGCGAGCGGTGAAGTCTCTTGTCTTCTAGCCATACTACCACTACCCGTACTGGCAGCTCTCAGCTGAGCGTTAATTAGCTAGTTAAGTGAGAGAATGGCAGAATAAGACGGAGAATAGGCAGGGAAGACATGGAGGACCTAATGGGTGACCCGGCATCAATTCGATTCGATGATTCTGCCACAGCGGCTTCTCGTTGCGACAGCCGCTTAGAGTCGCTGATACCAGTGTGTTCACGTTCCGATAGACAATTTTTGCTACGATCATTCGACGATCTTCAAAATCATTGTTCACAGTTGTGGATGTTGAATGCGAGGATAGGCAGAGACCATATAAGTTCCATTGATACCGACACACAATGATACTGAGCACCACTCATAGAGCTTCACTAATCCGACCATTTTCTAAATATATCCGCGTCGACAAAGTGCGTCCGCCGAGAGGCACGACTATACTACGCCGGCATGGGGCCCAGAAAGGTTCTGTACCACGACCAATAGAAATGTCTGCAGTTGTTCCGCCTCGCAATCGCAACCACGACCCTCTTGCTCAACTCCTCTACCTTCACCCCACCTAGGATTTCGCCCTTTTTTCCTTTAACTAGCATCTCATCTCAACCTGAACTAGACCTTGACTCTTCCTTTTCTTTTCTCTTGTAGTATTTTGTTTCTGTCCTCCATCGCCGCAAATGGTAAGCTGCTACCCGTCTGCTGCTGCTGCTGCTGCTGCTGATCCACTAGACCTTCTCCATCATATCGTTCTCCTCGGGGGGGTATGGCGTGCTGTTTTGGGACAGTTAAATGACAGGTGGGGCATAATGATGATGCCAAAGAAAGCACTTGGACAGAGAACACTAATAAACAACAACATGTCGCGACGCTGCTCGTTCTTGTCGACGCTGAGATGGAGCGAAACACAACAAGCAACATCAACTATCAAGGTCAATTAATTGACACGGCAACTGAATGGCTTAGCGAAACAATCGACGCTATTGAGGTCGTCAGCTTAACCATGTAGCTTCAATCGATCGATGGTTCTCTTTCTCCCTGTCTGTCAAAATGAAAAAACAAAAAACTTCAGCTACTGCTGAGATCTACTTTGCGCGACCTCCGAAATCTCAATTCAGTTTCAAACATTCCGCTACAGTTAGACCATTACTATCCCTCCCGGTTAACTCTCCAATTCTGCCGACCAATGTCTACAAGGCGCAATACGCCTTGGATCTCTAACACCGTACGCTGACCGAAGCGGAGAAATTTGATTGTATATATAGTCCAGCAGCTCGGAGTTCGCGTGCCACCTACTTTTTTTGTTATTGAAACATGACGAGTATTATCCCTTTTACGCGACGGAAAGGTTTTTGCTTCCTCGTTTTATAACTTCGACTAAAAGCATTTTGCCGGTCTTCAGTTCTATTACCGGTCCAACATATTTTTTTAAATATCAAATGAAAAACATCACGCTATCTGGCCAATACAATACTAGGCACTCAGGGTTGACTTAATCGACAAAAAGCAATTTAGACTAAAATAGAGCCCATAATCAAAAATTTCCCCGTGAACTTTCGTGCCTATTCCGTAATATCCGACAATCAGCTCAAATGTTCTGCCGGTCCCACGTTCCCCTATACTTTAATTGGAAACAATTTACCTTTATCTATTGCCCACTCATGCGCATCGGTATACTTCTTTACGAACGTGAAAATTGAATTTGCCAAAGTAGCAGAAGACGGCTAAATTACAATTTTTCTGCGGTGGGTTATCTGACATATGATCTGATTTCGTCATTCGTGCACCGGGGGCACATTTGAGGGCGGCGCTAGTGTCAGATCCAGAAGCCTCCTTCATTAGCCTTTCTGAACAACTGACGATTTTCCTTCCTGACTTGTGAATAGAACCCGTTCGATTTCTATCAAATACACTATAGTAGAATACACTAAAAAACAGCTCAATCTTGAAAAGGTACTTTTCGCCTTCGGCCTAAAACCTTCATGAGTGATCCCACGCGCCATAATTCTTGTTCCAGAACAGCTATTAAACTGTTTCCGGTTGGAGAAGCTATCTCCAGAATTTTGCAACCTCTGTTTCGTGAGAGTAGGGCATGGTCTTGTTTTGGAAACGTTCTTCTCTATTTTTTTTTGCTGTTTTTTTTTTTGCTATCTTTCTTATCGCCTTAACTGTTGCCACATACAGATTTTTAACGGCTTCTGTTCTATCCCATTCGACCTTGTGATCTCGTCTGTGATGCGCGGCGGTACCACGATGCCCTCCCTCTGCGTTTAGAGGCAGGCACAGCTTGAAACAACCATTGCGGGCAGGACACCATGCAGTATGTTCCTTTGGTCGTCAAAGTACAGCATCGATATCGAGTTCAGCTTACGAGGCCCGCAGCACGGCGTGATAGGATTTTTACTGACCTGGTGTTGCTGCTGAGCGGACATTGTCGTTGCGGAGTTTTGCGCCTGTTGGGTAACCACGTGTTGGTGTGAAGTGAAGACAAATGGGCATTCACCATTGCAGTAGTTAGCTTCATACTTGCGCGGTTCTATTATCCAGTTCCAACCGAAATCCTCAAAGTTGACTGTAAATGGGTAACGACAGCAACGAACTTGTCTATTTGTTTCGTCGCACACAGCCAAGCTGGATCGACGCGATCGGCCCTTACTGCGGTTTGAAACTGTGAGCTTAAGGAGAGGCCTCTGCAAGGCAGATGAAGAAAAAAAACAGGAACGTTTAACAGAATAACTAATTACAATAGTAAGCAAAGATAGGGGTAGGTGTATTTTTTGTATTGACTTCAATGGTTCGCGATCGTTATTGACTAAATTTGATTGAATTCTACTAGTTTCATCGATTTAATGCACAACTTTCATCGGCTTTTTTTTGTTTTAATAATACGTTCGCGAATGTTGACATATTAGAAATGTACCGTTGAAACTTGATGTGCTTACCTCATTTAGGTCCGAACTCTAGAAACGGGAAGATCGTGTGTTTTTTTTTAAGAATATCATAAAACTGAAATCTCTGATTCTGACTGTCAACAACAAAGGCCGACTACGAATTTTCGTTGTATATTTTCAGGTTAGCTTTATCTCATAGTGCTCGATTTACTTATGACTTCAATACAATGGCTTCAAATCTGCGGCAGTGTTTCTTAAGTAAGAAAGCAAAAAAGAAAATAAGGATTTATATAAATCATTATTGACGTACATGTTTGCTGTGCGTAGCCAAGCGGATGTTGACATCTCGCCCACGGTTATCATATATACGTAATTTCAGGCCGAGATTTTCTTCACCAAGAGTTTTAAACCAGCTGTCCAGATCGTTCCTAACGTCTACCTGAATCCAGCGACCTGGATGATCGCGACTACATTGATGACCTCGAACGTGTTTCGCACTACCCTATAACGGAAATCTTGTACAGTAAGATGCCTACCTAATACGTCAGTCTGTACAATCTTTAAGTAGCTAAATTAAGTATCTCATGTATGTGTATATGTGCAATCAATATGATCGTCACCATTCCCCGTAGAGGTTCAGCGTGACACTAGACACCTAAGTCGTTTGCCCCTGTTCTTCGTCCGAGCGAGCCGAAAATATTAATTTCATAACCCATAGCGTTCCTGGTTACTACAATCGGGTGGTAAAAAATAGCTTTTATCGAAATTTGATCTACAGTGGGGAAAAAATGGCCTTTTGAGAGAAACAGGCCTCGCCTTGGTAAAAAAAGCACAGTTCACTTGAACGTTTTCGATCTAAATGCTTATGTATCATCGTTCTTGCCTTACGCTTAGACGACAGCTCACTGTCCCTATCGGATCGTTCTGGCGTAATACTACTTCCTAATGTCAACTTCTTCTCCTATAGTATATAGACTGCTAAACGTTTCTGCTATACATAGGACGGCATCGAGGTCGAATGTTGTTAGCAGGTGATGATGAACTACTAGTAAATGACGACATGCTACAACTGTTTATATTTTCGATAGATACCTATGAGAGGTTGTAGCTAGAAAAAAATTTATATGAATGGGATGAACGCCTATCATTCATCAGTGGCAATCCAATGATACAATAACCTTTAATCTCACTTTTTTAGTTCGATATCCGCTATAATCGTCACGGATGACTTTCTCGATGACGGCCGTAAAATCTCCAAGCTCGTGAATAACAGCACAAGGCAGATGGAACCGAAACTCGGCCCTATCGAGCCTTTGCGTTAAGATCGTTGATGATATCTTAAACTGGAACAGATTATCCGGAATAACCCATCCGGAGATCTCTAAATACTTCTCTGTTAGATCTGAAAGAAATAGAAAACGAATAATAGCAGCCATTGGCAGGAATGCTGCTATCAGCACAGATAGATATAGGTCTCTCGAACCGGTTAAGGCCCGCTAGATTAATTAAGATTCCGTGAGTTACCTTACCTTGATCAATGAAAATTAACAACATTTTTGATATTAATCAGGTATCTGTACTTGTACCTATGCTACAGATGTGCGTTTGGACGTGATAGTTCTTTTCACGCAGATGCTGTAGTAAGCAGTTGTTCCTAGTAGGTATTGAGGGGCAAACTTGGACCGCAGGTAGATGCTTTAAAGGCGTAGCCTAATATTAAATGCAATGTAGACATATACCTAATGCAGCTGTTCGTCTGGGCCTAGAGTTCAACTTAAACTTGCTTCGTAGCATTTACTGAAACTTTGAACTGAAAGCCTAATGGTATACCTGTCAGCTAAATAGCCAGTTGATGAATTTTTAAAGTTTAGTGAAACTTTCTTAGCCAAATCTACTGCCTAAATGGTATCGCAACAGTAGGAAGTGATTGAGCGGATCGCCAACCCTGAATTTCTCTATCGCAGAGAGCCACGAAGTACGGGCTTTCTCCACGTGTGTTGCTTATGCCTCATTCTAGAACTGAAATCCTAATCCTTCGTTAACGGTACACAACCATTTTATTGAAGGCGGTATCTTATCTATGTAGAGACCTGGATAAACTTTTGCCAGACTAGTATATTAGAGCAGGCTGCATTGCTCACTGTTTATAGCTCTAGCAGTCTCTGTGCTCAATCAGCTCGTCATATTTATTCATTTCGCCAGCATTCGACGCTCCGCCTTTTGCACAGCGATTCAGATGAAGGAATCGGCCACCCCTGAAGCTAGTCTCTCTCTCTATTATACTGTGGGGCATTAGTCGTTCGCTTGGCGTATAGCACTCTCGCACATTATGTGCGACAGGCGCCGGCAGGCGGTGCTTGTACCGTTCCGAGATTCCGGACAATTTTATATGTTGTATTCAATGGACACGAACTGCGATAGCTTCGTCTCCTACGACCGTAGTGCAAGTACTAATATTCATAGTTCGCTATTGTGTGTAAATAGTTAATAGCAGTGAAGGCCTGCCGAACGAGTGCCTGCCTATCTGGATGCCTGTTGAGTCGCAAGTATCAAGTGATGGCCATCGCGACGTGGGGCGAGGGGGCGCGCAGTGGCAGGCTGCGTGACAGAAAGCCACGTGCTCCCCTATCACGCGCGCGAAGCAGACAGCAAGGTTACAATCTACAAATGTCGACACAGTAAAGCGCTGGACTGCCGATTCCAGTCAGTAGTAACGCCAGACTTACTGTTTAGCTTTTTCGGCTCCGCAGTCCGGCAGAATACGATTGGACTCCAATCAAACAACTACAACTCATGTCCAGAGCGAGGATTACATAAACGCAAAGCTAAAATGTAACAAATTGAAGATACTGCATAATAGACAACTCATTATCGAAAGGCAGCGATTGGAGACGTAACGTACTGATGCTTTGTCGTCTACTCGACGATTAACTATTAAGCCCGCCTTGGTTAGAGTTAAAGCCGATGAGCGCAGTTAACATCGAATGAGTTCCTACCTACCTATGCGTAGGACGCATTCAGTTTCCTTATTGTATCTTATCGTTGCGGTTCGAATATCACCTGATCGGTTGTTCAAAACTAGAAGTTAATGATAATCCTCTAACATAGTTACTGAAGAATGAATCTGATGCCGGCAGAGAAAACATCAGTTGCAGTTTCAGGCCCAGCTTTCAACAGTCAGGTAAATCGTCTTCTATTTTAGCTCTGGAGGCTAGAGGGCAGCAACCATATTGCTTGGTTAATTAGTAAGAACGGAGCTTAACGCTATGGCGAGCATCTTGCTTTTTAGAAGTACGTCGGAATATTTGAAGTACGAAATAGCTCAGCTGTATAAAAATAAATGGATACAACCACAGCATGGCAGAATATTAACTAATTTACATACGCTAAATCGATGATGGTAAATTGATACTGACTGCGGAACGGGTTTCATCGGACGTCTCGATATGCCCATTTCTACCACAACACTGCTCCAAGCCCAAAAACACGATCATACGCCCAAACATACCCATCTGCGGCATTGGTACGCTCGAGCGGGCCACTCTTGTTGTGTGTTCGAGTGAATCGGCCGATGATGGTAGACAAACGAGTCGGTGGCCGCAACGAGAACCTTTTGTTTCCAATATGAGAACGAGTGACCGCTTCCACCGTCCGCTTTCGTCTTTGAAGAGCTATGGACGTAGACAAATGTACCTGGCGAGACGATCACAGGTTCAGGTGGCTGGTTGAAATCCCTCTTACAAACTGGTGTCTTGTGCCTGCGATCGATTTGACCATCACCACTATTAATGAATCCCACCGACGGACTATCGACGTTGGCGACGACGATGGTCTCTGACGCTCCTAGCCCCCTTCGCCGTTCCAGAACGCTTCCACGTTATCCCCAATACGTCGGCCAGCTTTTCACCTTCCTACGAGATTCGTCGATTGTTCGTCCTACTCTGTTGCGCAGGCCCATGTCGCACGCCTCGCAAAGCTTTGTTGCTATTATATAGATACACATTTGGTATTAACATATCGTTAGTTGTGTGGCCTGCTTGTTCAAAGTGCCGTTCGTTGAATCGGGTTGACGCCGCTGGTATCCTGGTAGGAGGTAGTATGGTAGCAGATAGGTGTATTGGTACGGCATACCCCTGCGGGGGACGGAAGCGCATCACTAATAGCAGTACGTACTGCTGCAGGGACGCCGTCCTCCCTCTCCGATGACAGGTAAATGAATAAACAATGGTCATGTGGAAACTGTACCGTAAGCGCTGTAGTAAGCAGCGTAGCTAACTTCTCTATGCATAGGTGTCATTTAAAAATGTCGACATACATGACATCATATATTTAATAAATAGCAATGGGTTTTCGAAATGCTAGTTCGAATAGCGAGCCACGAAAACGATTTGGCAGTGGCTGTTCCATTTGTGATATGGCCATCGATGGACGCTAATCATGCCCAGATGTCCGCTAACGGTACTAGCCGTGTTTTGACAGACGGATATCGAAACAGCGTTGCCTGATAGTTTATTAGGTTGTGTATTGGTTTCGCTTTTTAGATAGTATAAACAATATCGCATCTTAAATACCACCCACATCGGCCTCGTACAACCTAACACCTAATGATAGCAAACGGCAAAAGAAAGTAGCGATCAGTCATCGGCGGACAAAGCTTTCCTAGCGACAAGCACAGCCCTCGGATGCAATAGTTTCAAAACGGAGCTCGTAAATTTCAGCTGTTTTCTCGTGAATTCTCATCAACTAGCTACGTAGCTAGATCATAATTCATACTGCGCTCTTACTCGCCTGTGCCGATATCCATGTGTGTGTACATATAGAGCTTCAAAATACGAGATCGTTTAATATGAATTTCTGACGCTATATTAGGCATTTATTAGGGAGCTTTGGAGTATCGCTGCTGGTCGGTAGTATCACCGGAGATACCTCGGCTCAGTACATATTTACCAGATGAATGTTACTGTCCAAAATCAGCTTTTGCGTCTCGTCGAGCTCTTGCGATGCGTTTTATAACCACATAGATCTGTTCTCTCTCTCTCATTTTGCCGGGACACACACACGTTTTACACAGGTGGAAACCAGTATTTCTCCTTCACTGTTTGTTATCTGTCGTTTCAAATACTACTTTATGTTAGACGTACTTTATTTTACCGTCTACCTTTACAGGAACAGGGCTAAACATTTTTACACTCTGTCGAAAATTGGAAGCAATTTTTGCAAGGCGTAGAATCGGTATTAGGAATGAATGTCAAGACCCCGTGCAACTGCACGACAGCATCGTGTGTCTCTTTTATTTCTCTTAAAATACAAATAAACGTTAATGTGTGCGCGGATATGTTCTAGTCCAAACGAAGTAAAAAAAACTGCGATGATGATATACTCCCATGATGCTGTTGACCCCAGCACGCGTCGAATACACAATCAACAACCTTTACTGGAACGGGCAATTGTGCCCTATTCGTGTGTGTTCGAAATAAACACCATTTGAAATCGTTAGATCAATGGGTCATATCAAATCGCTTGGGTTGAGGAAGGACCACAAGCTAGATTGATTCAAAGCTATACAATTATTGATAATGTTTTCCTTAATTCAAGTACATATTAGGCTGTGGGAAGAAAGTCTCCTAATATTCGATAAGTCTCTTCGCATACGTCTTGAGCAAAAAATAGGTAGAATTAAAAATGACTCCCATGCCCATAGCCAGAGATCGGACAGGTATTCCTTTTCGAGAAGCAGCTGACGTTAATTTTAAAGGTTAAATATGGCGTATTAAGGTGAATATCGTTGTTGTTTCTGTCTATAATAATAATAGCTTGCGATTCTGTTATATATTCTTAATTCTTTCCTCACCTGCACTTATCAATCAAATCAGCCGTAATATTACCCACTGGATTACAGAGAACACGATCTATCTATAAAGTCTAGGTGAATACCCGTTCGCTTGCATCACTCATGTTTGTTCTTCTAGTTTGGCTACGCGTAAAAGGCCAAATAAGTTCTGTTAGACCGCCAAAGACAGGACACCAAAGAATGAAACGGCCGCTGGTCATTTGGAAGCCACCACTCGGCATCAAAACCTCTACTGTCTATTCCAGCTTCCACTCCAGCCATTGTCGTCGTCGTCGTCGTCGTCGTCGTCGTCGTCACCGTCGCCAGGTTATCCTGGTTTCCGCGCGCGGAAACCGCAACACGAGCTCAAACAGTAATGGGAAGACAATCTGTGGTGTTACTGGAAATAAATACGGTACTGCTGGCGACGTTGACCTGCTGCTGACCGTAGCGGCAGCGTTCTTGGAGACGCATGAAGCGGGGGCAAGCAATTTGTACGAGTTAATACCACCTACTTACCTGTTATGGCTGCGTACGTCGCTGCGACGTGCGTATAGCTGTGTGGGCAGGCA